CAAGTGAGGTACAGGTATGAATAAAGCAGCAGCTGGTACGCAAAATCAGGATCATTGAGAAAGAGGAGTATAGTAGTATACGGTCTTTGCAATAACCCATGTCATATGTCTCGTGGAAAGACTGAGGGCCAACTCGGCCGCCCTCAGCCTAGGCTGAAACAGGGGCAAAAAGGACCCCTACCCAAGACTCAGGGCCTGGACGTGTGACAGTTGACTTCGGTCAACTGCCATGACCCCAACAGTCAAAGTCCAAAGGTACCTAGCCCAGGCCACAGGTCAAGCACACACACTTGTTTGTATGCAGGTACCCAGACAGCCTCAGGTCCAAGGAAGAAGTCTGCAACTGTGCAATCCGGGCCCTCACTGTGAGTCAATCTGGACGACTGTGGGAAAAGCACCCGAGGCCAGACAGCCTCGACAACTGTTACTTAAGGCTGGCCTCGAGTGAGTCAAGCATTCAGTCTTGCTATGCTGCTTTGACACTGGCTCGACTTTGACTAGACGCTGGCTTCATGCTGGCGCGACGCTGGCTACACGCAGGCTGTGCGCAGGGATTGCGGACGACAGTGCAAGGTGGAGGCAGCATGCTGGCGCTTCTTCTGTGCGCCAGCCAATGCTGATGTGGCGCTACCTCTGGTCTACATTGCATGCTGATGTGGTGCTACCTCTGGTCTACATTGCATGCTGATGTGGCGCTACCTCTGGTCTACATAGCATGCTGATGTGGCGCTACCTCTGGTGTTACATGCCCAGTTGGGCGATGTACATATATAACCGAGGATCCGCAATGTGATAAAAAGGACTGAATGGACAATGCAGTGCTAGTGACATCTCAACAAGCAGTGTACATCCTGATACATACAAAAATGGTGCTTTACAGCGCAGTGGAAGACTTAGATACAAGTCCTGACCTGACCGGGACAGACCTCTCTCACGTAGTACAAGACAGCGCAGCAGGAATGCTAGAATACCAATGACTAGCCCAATCAATGTCGCAATACAGACCCAACATACATCATCCTTATCACAAGGTGTGAAGGGGCCTGGCGCTACACACAGGAAGAAGGCGCCAGGTCCAGACATGCACAGACGAAGAGGAGGGGATCAGACGAAGAAAAGGGGGGAGATGGGAATGTCGTTAACACCAAGTCTTCGGTACAAGTCCCAGATAATCCCTCGTCAAATGTCTGAAGCCCAATGTCAGAGTCTCAATCCAAATGTCACCAAGCCCACTCTCTCGTAGTCTGCTGATGCAGTGAAGTCAGGTAGCGAGAGGGTGAGAGGGAGGTGGTGGACTGAGAAGAGGAAGAAGAAGAACTCTCTCTCACTCTCTCTCACTCTCTCTCATATGCCAGGTACTAACCTGTGAAGGTGGCGCTGTGCTGCAGGTACCTCGAAGACGAAGCTGGAGCTATGGCGCTGCAGGTAGGTCTCCCTGGCCTCCGCCCAATCTCTCTCTCTCTCCAGTTCTACTCTAGCTCCTACTAGCGCCCAGCGCTGAAGACTACTGCTAACGCTACTAGCGCCCAGCGCTGCAGACTACTGCTAGCGCTACTACTACTCCTGCAGCGCTCCTTCAGAGTGCTGCTGCCAAATCCTGAAGACTACCTCCTGCCTCCTGAACTGCACGTGAAGTGCCTGGGAAGTACCTAGGAACTACCTGCAGCCTGCAGGGCGGGCCAGTCCTATATAGTGCTGGCCCGTCCAGGAGGCTGCTCTTGCCAATGCCGAAACGTGCCAGACCCTGGCGTTGAAGCTCWACCAAGGGTTGTCTTGAAAACAGGCCCAAAATGGCCTGTGCTGAAACCCTGGTCTGGTGCCTGAGTTTCAGGGCAGGTCGAACTCATGAGGGCCTGAAAATGGCCCTCCGTTTCAGGCTGAAAAGACTCAGGGCCGGAAAGGCCCTGTTTTAGGCTGAAACGACACAGGGCCTGTAGGCCCTTGTTTTCAGGCTTTCAGGCTGAAACAACACACGGCCTGTAGGCCCTTGTTTTCAGGCTTTCGGGCTGAAAACGACACGGGCCTGAAAATGGCCCGTGCAGCTTGTTGCAGGCGCAGCATGTAACATCTGGTCTACATTGCATGCTCATGTGGCGCTGTATGTGTTTCTGCCAACTTTGGTCTAACACTGTTGAGATTGCTTGCGATCTTCTTCTAAGTCTGCAACCCAATCTTGTTGCATATTGTGTTT